TTTACGTCCTCCTTTGTTGAAGATGTCGGCTCTTCCGGCTTTTCTTTGTTTAGTTCAGAGACTCCTGGCTGAGGAGTCTCTTCCACGCCGATGTCTTTTACGTCCTCTTTTGTTGCAGACGTCGGCTCTTCCGGCTTTTCCTTGTTTAGTTCAGAGACTCCTGGCTGAGGAGTCTCTTCCACGCCGATGTCTTTTACGTCCTCTTTTGTTGCAGACGTCGGCTCTTCCGGCTTTTCCTTGTTTAGTTCAGAGACTCCTGGCTGAGGAGTCTCTTCCACGCCGATGTCTTTTACGTCCTCTTTTGTTGCAGACGTCGGCTCTTCCGGCTTTTCCTTGTTTAGTTCAGAGACTCCTAGCTGAGGAGTCTCTTCCACACTGTTGATTTTTGCTTCATCTTTGGTTGAAGCGACGCAAACTTCTCCAGCCGGAGAAGTTTGCGTCGCAGGTGGTGAAGGCCTGAAAAGATAGGCATCTATCACATCATAATCATCCATCCATTGTGCAGAGGGAAGATTATCCTCTGAGCAATCCTCTCCAGCCGGAGAAGGATTGAAGAGAAAAGCGTTAAAATCATCCGGCCACTCTTCCTGGTAGGGAAGTCTATCCTCGTCACTCTCTTCTCCAGCCGGAGAAGGATTGAAGAGGAAGGAATCAAAGACATCCAGGTCCTCATCCTTAGATGGCATTCCAAATTGTAGGTTTGGCAGGATAACATTCAATGTTTTCCTGATGGCTGTGCTGGCCAAATAACCAAGCCCAAAAGACACAGGAAAGAAAATGTCGTTCCAATCGCTTTCAGATCCAAAGACATGGCTAAACAGAATTGCAACTGAAAACTGAGGTTTTGAGATGCAAGTTTTTATAGCCTCAGAGGTTCTTAGATCTATGACATAGAACTATGTCATGATCTAAGTCATTGATGAGGTCATAGCTACAATGAGCTCACTGTAGTTCTGGACAATGTCTTGCTTCTGATCGTTGCTATAGCAACAGTCAGATCAGTTCTGCATGATTGAAACTATTAACCCTTTGCAACTGCTTGACTTCATCATTGGAGGCGCCATGACGGACGTCGGCAGTGAAGGATGGGAGAACTGAACAGAGTGACTTCAGTTATTTATCCAAGTTGTTTTTACCAGTTTCTTGGTGGCTTCTTCTTGTTGGAGTGGAGATAACTTGTCTGTGAACGTAACAAACCTGATTGGGGATCATAGACGGTGATATTTACAAAAGTTGGAAATTGCTAGCTTCCAAACCGACCCATACTTCCTCCATCCTGATGTGTTCATCAAATTATTGATTTGTCCTGAATTCACACCAATTTATTTATATCACTATGTCATAAATAGAGTTTCCCCTTACACTGGAGCAACATTAAAAACAATCAAAAAATCACCAGAGAGGAGCATTTGAAAGGCCAAAAGGTTATTTATGCAATTACTTGGCTGCTAGATTGTGGGATGTGTTGCCTCTATTTTTATGCTGCTTAGATTGTATTGATTCCTGCATTTTCTTTCAGTATAAAACAAAAATCATACAACTCTGCATTGATCTAAAGAAGCAAAACGAAGCAAGCGGAAAAAAAGACTCCCTGTCCCCAAAACAATGAATATTTATCAATTTAAAAGCTAAACATATTTAAACCCACCTGTGTCCCTTGTTTCTGGTCAGGTCCCCGTCTGGTCACGTCTAGTCGGTCCTTTCCTCCGTCCAGTCTGTGTGTTTTTGAGGTTCACCAGTTGCCACCAGCAACCTGGACTTTTAGAGTTATTTGTGTGCCAATCAGCATTAAAACCATAATTTATGACATTGCAACCTGGGTCCGCTGCATTTTTCCTCACCACCTTCATCGCACCTCATAACATTAACATTGTGAATAGGAAATAAGTTTCTTTGCTTGGTAGAAAATAGGTGAACTGAACCTTTTATGAGTTGTGTTTAGAAATGTGTCGTCATTTATGGGGTGATTAACAGACTTTTCAACAATCTAAGTTGTCTTGCCAAGAGTTAAAACAGTCACATTTCCTTCTCTGTTACATTTATATTTACGATTTCACTATTTTACTGGAATAAAATTCCTATTGAATGAGTAGCTTGGGATTCCCAAATACAAAGTAGAACGGCGCATAGAAATCCAGCTTAAGTTTGAATGTCTGAGGCTTAAAGCTGAGCACATCCTTAAATTCAGTTCTGCTGGAGAAAGAAACGTCACAGTTTTTATGTTTTCTGTCCTGTGAAACCATTAGCACACAATGAATCTCTTCATCAACTGATGTACTTTCTACAGTCATATGAAAAAGTTTGGGCGCCCCTATTAATCTAAATTATTTTCATCTCTAAATATTTGGATGTTTGCAATAACTATTTCAGTTGATATAACCAATAACTTATGGACACAGTAACATTTCAATATTGAAATGAGGTTTATTGGACTAAAACTAAATGTGCAGTACACATAAACACAAAATTTGACAGGTGCAAAACTATGGGCACCTCAACAGAAAAGCAACATTAATATTTAGTAGATCCTCCTTTTGCAACAATAACAGCCTCTAGTCGCTTCCGGTAGCTTCTAATGAGTTCCTGGATCCTGGATGAAGGTATTTTGTGACCACTCTTCTTTGCAAAACAATTCCAGTTCAGTTAAGTTTGATGGTCGCCGAGCATGGACAGCCCGCTTCAAATCATCCCACAGATGTTCAACAATATTCAGGTCTGGGGATTGGGATGGTCATTCCAGAACATTGTAATTGTTCCTCTGCATGAATGCCTAAGTAGATTCGGAGCGGTGTTTTGGATCATTGTCTTGCTGAAATATCCATCCCCGGCGTAGCTTCAACTTCATAACTGATTCTTGAACATTAGTCTCAAGAATCTGTTGATATTGAGTGGAATCCATGCAAAACTCAACTTTAACAATATTCCCAGCAGCATTGGCCACACAGCCCCAAAGCATGATGGAACCTCCACCAAATTTCACAGTGGGTAGGAAGTGTTTTTCTTGGAACGCTGTGTTTTTCTGCCGCCATGCATAACGCCTTTTTTTATGACCAAACCACTCAATCTTTGTTTCATCAGTCCACAGGACCTTATTCCAAAATGAAGTTGGCTTGTCCAAATGTGCTTTTGCATACCTCAATCGACTCCGTTTGTGGCGTGCTTGCAGAAAAGACTTCCGTCGCATCACTCTCCCATACAGCTTCTGTTTCTGCAAAGTGCGCTGAATTGTTGTGACACCATCTGCAGCAAGATGATGCTGCAGGTCTTTGGAGGTGGTCTGTGGGTTGTCCTTCATAGTTCTCACCATTCTTCTTCTCTGCCTCTCTGATATTTTTCTTGGCCTGCCACTTCTGGGTTTAACATGTACTGTCCCTGTGGTCTTCCATTTCCTTACTATGTTCCTCACAGTGGAAACTGACAGTTTAAATCTCTGAGATAACTTTTTGTATCCTTCCCCTAAACAACTGTGTTGAACAATCTTTGTTTTCAGATCATTTGAGAGTTGTTTTGATGTGCCCATGATGCCACTCTTCATAGGAGATCCAGACTGGAGAACAACTTGCAATCGGCCACCTTAAATACCTTTTCTCATGATTGGATACACCTGGCTATGAAGTTCAAAGCTTAATGAGGTTGCCAAACCAATTTTGTGTTTCAGTAAGTCAGTGAAAAGTAGTTAGGAGTATTCAAATCAATTAAATGATAAGGGTACCCAAATTTTTGCACCTGTCAAATTTTGTTTTTATGCATATTGCCCATTTTCTATTAGTACAATAAACCTCATTTCAGTACTGAAATATAACTGTGTGCATCGGTTATTAGATATATCAAACTGAGATAGCCGTTGCAAACACCCAAATATTTAGAAATAACAATAATAAAGATTAATGGGGGTGCCCAAACTTTTTCATATGACTGTATGTATGTTAAATGCAGAGAATCAGGGCAAGTACATTGTTATTAGAAAATATTATTGTTTTTGCAATCAGAACTGACTATCATTAGGTTAAATGAATAATTATTTTTTTAAAAACAACATGATGATTTCAGGTGAAGCAAACTGAGTAGACGGGGGATAATGAAAGCTACAACAAAACATTGACCATCTGGGACATGAGATCAACGGTAAGCTGGACAGTTTTGCCACAGAGGTACAGGGCCTGGCAGAGCGGGTTAACGAGGCGCAACAGAGGAAAACAGCTTCAAGAGCTTCATATAGAGTCCAGTTCCAGAAGAAACGACGTCCATGTCAGAAGGCCAAGCGGGAAACTTCACTGCATAGTATATGGGCTCTTTGCACCATTTCATGGATCTCCAAACAGTCCTGAATTAAGAACATCTTAAAACCTTTCTCCGGCTTACTTGTTTTGGCTTCGGATCGATGTACATTGTTAATTGTTACCTTGGAAAAGCCCTGCAGATACCCAGCATAAAGTACCATCTATTGCTATCCTGCCACCTTGTGGTGCACAATAGGAACAACTTGTTTGGTTGCAGACTTAAAAATACTAGGAAATATGTACTGCTTATCAGATACACACTGGTTTGTAAGATATGAATATCTTGAAGGAGCACACCAGTCTGTGTGGAAATAACCTACAAAGTGTGTTTTACTTGGTGAATTATTACTGAAATAAAAAAAAACTTTATAATAATATTGTTAGTTTTAACTAAGTGGATAAGTAGATATATTGCACATGTATAAAAAATAGAAGAACCTGTTTGTTTGTTTTTTAACAAAAGTTTGAATACATTTCAGAGTTACTGAACTCCTGGTGACGTTTTTTTGATGACAGTTCATTTTTAGAGCATGAAGATGTTGGAGACTAGGTTTTGAAAGAGAAATCCGTTTTGTGTTACACTCGATAATTTTGTGATTATTCTAAAATATGCTAATATTTAATATGGTCATAAATACATTTCACCATCTGTATTTGTTCTGTTGTAGTTTTGTTGACTCTGTTTTGGGGTCTCTTAATTTTTATTTTTTTTTACTGCTTTGCTGCAAGGAAATTTGCCCTAAGAGGACAATAAATTAACACTGATATGTTTTCATACTCAAGATCTCCATGTAGAAAATAGTGGGATGTTCCTTTGATGGATTGACTCATAATGATTCCCATAAACAGAGCTGAGAACCTGAAAGTTAATTTCATGGTTTGTGTTCATTGACTGTTTCCACTTAGGCTTTTGGTGCTTGGGCTCAAATCTGCCCTACTTTCTCAGAATCTGTAGTGAGTCTCAACTTTTGCTTTCGCTTCCTCTGGAGGAGTGGACCAGAACCCATACTGCAGTGCAAGCCTGGTCCAGAACTACAGGAAACATCTGGTCTCTGGAATGGGAAACAAAGATTTATGGCCCAATATTAACTGGGTTTTCCCAATAAGTATCTAACACTTATTCCACACAATAAAATGCAAATTACACATTCTTTAAAACAATAATGCAAGGTAATGTAATTTTTAAAAAAGATTTCATACTTCTTGCGCTGCATCGTGAAACAGACATTTGATTGTGTGAATCCTCTGTAAAACAGTGCTACTGTTGCTGACCACTGAGGGTGATGGGTCAGGCTGACAGGTCACATAAATCCAGCACAGAACTAGAAAATAATTAAATGTCAAAATAATGTTTTTGGCCTAAAATAACTAAAGATTTACATCCCTTCTAACGTCTCCAGCCATAGTATTTAAGTGATGCCAAATCAAAATATTCAACAACTTGGTCAGTAGATATTTTATTAATAATTAGATATTTTTTAAGTTTCTTGTTTTTCAATTTTTCTTATTTTAAATTGCTTTTGTAAATATTGTCAATGTAAAGCTGCAGATGTCCAGCATTAGCATAAGTGTACATGAAAATGCTACGAAAACAGTTTGAAAACTGATGCATATTGTATTTCCATATTTTACTCTTGTCTGTGTATCGACAAAAACAATTTAATGGGAAAGATAGTGAATCACATTATGCATATGTAACGGGTAATAGATACAGATGAAATTCTTGCTAAAATATGTTTTGTAATTACTATGTGATGAATGGTTTTTGGCGCCCCCTACTGGTTGCCTATAAATAGAAAGCTAAACCGTAAATTAGACGCAGTCTGTTCAGCGCTCTACTGTGTATGCGGAGAGCTGGTGGACCAGTAGTGGAGCTCACTGTGCTAATTTGTGTTGACCATTTATTACAGAAAATTCAACCAACTGGCCTCCTTTGTGTGTATGACGGGACGGGCATAAGGGGAAGCTGTTACACATAACAAAACGTACATACAACAAGCTGTGGAGCTTGTTTTAACCTACTAGCTATTGCTTGGATTAATGCCACAAAATAATTATACATATTAACTTATTGAATTTTTGGAGTACAAACTTCTTATCGCACTCTGACATAAAAACAATCTAATTAACGGACTACTTTAAAAAAAACCCTGTTAAATATGCTATAACAAGGTTAGCACGCTTTGACGGTTAACCTGCAGCTAGCTCATGTTGCTAAAACAACGAACTATGTACATAACACCACACGATCAAAAAGCATTCAAAACGAAGGAATCTAAACAAAATCAAAAAAGGTGAGCCTACCTTTTACTGACTCTTAACGCAGTAGCAAAGGTTGGACCTTGAATTTAAGGTCATATTTAACTGGGAGTTGGAGCACGCTGTTATTCTACGGAGAATTGTCTCCAACTGCTCCGGTATCTCATAATTATGACTTTGAAAGTCGAAATTATGACTTTGAATCTCATAATTATGACTTTGAATCTCATAATTATGACTCTTAATCTCATAATTGTGACTTTGAATCTCATAATTATGACTTTGAAAGTCGAAATTATAACTTTGAATCTCATAATTATGACTTTGAAAGTCGAAATTATGACTTTGAATCTCATAATTATGACTTTGAATCTCATAATTATGACTCTTAATCTCATAATTATGACTTTGAATCTCATAATTATGACTTTGAAAGTCGAAATTATAACTTTGAATCTCATAATTATGACTTTGAAAGTCGAAATTATAACTTTGAATCTCATAATTATGACTTTGAAAGTCGAAATTATGACTTTGAATCTCATAATTATGACTTTGAAAGTCGAAATTATGACTTTGAATCTCATAATTATGACTTTGAATCTAATAATTATGACTTTGAACGTCGAAATTATGACTTTGAATCTCATAATTATGACTCTTAATCTCATAATTATGACTTTGAATCTCATAATTATGACTGAATCTCATAATTATTACTTTGAATCTCATAATTATGACTCTGAATCTCATAATTATGACTCTGAATCTCATAATTATGACTCTGAATCTCATAATTATGACTTTGAATCTCATGATTATGACTTTGAATCTCATAATTATGACTTTGAATCTCATAATTATGACTCTTAATCTCATAATTATGACTTTGAATCTCATAATTATGACTTTGAATCTAATAATTATGACTTTGAACGTCGAAATTATGACTTTGAATCTCATAATTATGACTCTTAATCTCATAATTATGACTTTGAATCTCATAATTATGACTGAATCTCATAATTATTACTTTGAATCTCATAATTATGACTCTGAATCTCATAATTATGACTCTGAATCTCATAATTATGACTCTGAATCTCATAATTATGACTCTGAATCTCATAATTATGACTTTGAATCTCATGATTATGACTTTGAATCTCATAATTATGACTTTGAATCTCATAATTATGACTCTTAATCTCATAATTATGACTTTGAATCTCATAATTATGACTTTGAAAGTCGAAATTATGACTTTGAATCTCATAATTATGACTTCGAATCTCATAATTATGACTATGAATCTCATAATTATGACTTTGAAAGTCGAAATTATGACTTTGAATCTCATAATTATGACTTTGAATCTAATAATTATGACTTTGAACGTCGAAATTATGACTTTGAATCTCATAATTATGACTTCGAATCTCATAATTATGACTTTGAATCTCATAATTATGACTTTGAATCTCATAAATATGACTTTGAAAGTCGAAATTATGACTGTGAATCTCATAATTATGACTTTGAATCTAATAATTATGACTTTGAACGTCGAAATTATGACTTTGAATCTCATAATTATGACTTTGAAAGTCGAAATTATGACTTTGAATCTCATAATTATGACTTTGAAAGTCGAAATTATGACTTTGAATCTCATAATTATGACTCTGAATCTCATAATTATGACTCTGAATCTCATAATTATGACTTTGAATCTCATGATTATGACTTTGAATGTCATAATTATGACTCTGAATCTCATAATTATGACTCTGAATCTCATAATTATGACTGAATCTCATAATTATGACTTTGAATCTCATAATTATGACTCTGAATCTCATAATTATGACTCTGAATCTCATAATTATGACTCTGAATCTCATAATTATGACTCTGAATCTCATAATTATGACTTTGAATCTCATGATTATGACTTTGAATCTCATAATTATGACTTTGAATCTCATAATTATGACTCTTAATCTCATAATTATGACTTTGAATCTCATAATTATGACTTTGAAAGTCGAAATTATGACTTTGAATCTCATAATTATGACTTCGAATCTCATAATTATGACTTGAATCTCATAATTATGACTTTGAAAGTCGAAATTATGACTTTGAATCTCATAATTATGACTTTGAATCTAATAATTATGACTTTGAACGTCGAAATTATGACTTTGAATCTCATAATTATGACTTCGAATCTCATAATTATGACTTTGAATCTCATAATTATGACTTTGAATCTCATAATTATGACTTTGAAAGTCGAAATTATGACTGTGAATCTCATAATTATGACTTTGAATCTAATAATTATGACTTTGAACGTCGAAATTATGACTTTGAATCTCATAATTATGACTTTGAAGTCGAAATTATGACTTTGAATCTCATAATTATGACTTTGAAAGTCGAAATTATGACTTTGAATCTCATAATTATGACTCTGAATCTCATAATTATGACTCTGAATCTCATAATTATGACTTTGAATCTCATGATTATGACTTTGAACGTCATAATTATGACTCTGAATCTCATAATTATGACTCTGAATCTCATAATTATGACTTTGAATCTCATAATTATGACTGAATCTCATAATTATGACTTTGAATCTCATAATTGTGACTCTGAATCTCATAATTATGACTCTGAATCTCATAATTATGACTTTAAATCTCATGATTATGACTTTGAATGTCATAATTATGACTCTGAATCTCATAATTATGACTCTGAATCTCATAATTATGACTGAATCTCATATTATGACTTTGAATTTCAGAATTGACTTTGAAAGTCAAATTTATGACTTTGAATCTCATAATTATGACTTTGAATCTCATAATTATGACTGGATCTCATAATTATGACTTTGAATCTCATAATTATGACTCTGAATCTCATAATTATGACTGAATCTCTAATTATGACTTTGAACGTCGAAATTATGACTTTGAATCTCATAATTATGACTTCGAATCTCATAATTATGACTCTTAATCTCATAATTATGACTTTGAAAGTCGAAATTATGACTGAATCTCATAATTATGACTTTGAATCTCATAAATATGACTTTGAAAGTCGAAATTATGACTGTGAATCTCATAATTATGACTTTGAATCTAATAATTATAACTTTGAACGTCGAAATTATGACTTTGAATCTCATAATTATGACTTCGAATCTCATAATTATGACTCTTAATCTCATAATTATGACTTTGAATCTCATAATTATGACTGAATCTCATAATTATGACTTTGAATCTCATAATTATGACTCTGAATCTATAATTATGACTTTGAACGTCGAAATTATGACTGTGAATCTCATAATTATGACTTTGAAAGTCGAAATTATGACTTTGAATCTCATAATTATGACTTTGAAAGTCGAAATTATGACTTTGAATCTCATAATTATGACTCTGAATCTCATAATTATGACTGAATCATAATTATGACTTTGAATCTCATGAATTATGACTTTGAACGTCATAATTATGACTCTGAATCTCATAATTATGACTCTGAATCTCATAATTATGACTGAATCTCATAATTATTACTTTGAATCTCATAATTATGACTCTGAATCTCATAATTATGACTCTGAATCTCATAATTATGACTCTGAATCTCATAATTATGACTCTGAATCTCATAATTATGACTTTGAATCTCATGATTATGACTTTGAATCTCATAATTATGACTTTGAATCTCATAATTATGACTCTTAATCTCATAATTATGACTTTGAATCTCATAATTATGACTTTGAAAGTCGAAATTATGACTTTGAATCTCATAATTATGACTTCGAATCTCATAATTATGACTATGAATCTCATAATTATGACTTTGAAAGTCGAAATTATGACTTTGAATCTCATAATTATGACTTTGAATCTAATAATTATGACTTTGAACGTCGAAATTATGACTTTGAATCTCATAATTATGACTTCGAATCTCATAATTATGACTTTGAATCTCATAATTATGACTTTGAATCTCATAAATATGACTTTGAAAGTCGAAATTATGACTGTGAATCTCATAATTATGACTTTGAATCTAATAATTATGACTTTGAACGTCGAAATTATGACTTTGAATCTCATAATTATGACTTTGAAAGTCGAAATTATGACTTTGAATCTCATAATTATGACTTTGAAAGTCGAATTATGACTTTGAATCTCATAATTATGACTCTGAATCTCATAATTATGACTCTGAATCTCATAATTATGACTTTGAATCTCATGATTATGACTTTGAACGTCATAATTATGACTCTGAATCTCATAATTATGACTCTGAATCTCATAATTATGACTTTGAATCTCATAATTATGACTGAATCTCATAATTATGACTTTGAATCTCATAATTGTGACTCTGAATCTCATAATTATGACTCTGAATCTCATAATTATGACTTTAAATCTCATGATTATGACTTTGAATGTCATAATTATGACTCTGAATCTCATAATTATGACTCTGAATCTCATAATTATGACTGAATCTCATGATTATGACTTTGAATTTCAGAATTGACTTTGAAAGTCAAATTATGACTTTGAATCTCATAATTATGACTTTGAATCTCATAATTATGACTGGATCTCATAATTATGACTTTGAATCTCATAATTATGACTCTGAATCTCATAATTATGACTGAATCTCATAATTATGACTTTGAATCGAAATTATGACTTTGAATCTCATAATTATGACTTCGAATCTCATAATTATGACTCTTAATCTCATAATTATGACTTTGAATCGAAATTATGACTGAATCTCATAATTATGACTTTGAATCTCATAAATATGACTTTGAAAGTCGAAATTATGACTGTGAATCTCATAATTATGACTTTGAATCTAATAATTATAACTTTGAACGTCGAAATTATGACTTTGAATCTCATAATTATGACTTCGAATCTCATAATTATGACTCTTAATCTCATAATTATGACTTTGAATCTCATAATTATGACTGAATCTCATAATTATGACTTTGATTCTCATAATTATGACTCTGAAGCTCATAATTATGACTCTGAATCTCA